TTAGTCATTGAAAACATCACTTAAAATAAATGCATCTGTTTGTCATTTATGAGGGTATAGAATAGCTTTGCACACAGAAATAATGAAGTTGCTGTCAGATATGGAAGAGCTAGGAAAGCACATTTTAGTGTCTTTCCTAATAGCTTTCTGCAGATATATGCTCACAAACATATACACATGTAAAAGTCAGAGTCAAGCCTCCAGCAATTGTGGAAGCTAATTTTCTTTGTTTCATTGTATTTTTTTTTTTTAATTTTTATGTTTACTGCAATTCCTGAGCACTTATCCTGTCTGTAAGAGTTATGGAATCTCTAGGCAGATAATAATTTCGTGGTTTATCAGGAGATTGCCACATTTCACACATATATTGTAAAATGTCTCATGTCCTCATAGTTGTATCAATCTGTTAGGGTGGCATAGTTTCAAGTTGGTCAGATTTGCCCTAGGGAATTAAGGAGTCTGCCAAGATTAGTATGAAGAAGGGAACAGGATACCAGTGAAACTTTCCCCTCCTCAGAATATCTCATATCTGCAGTATCAGTATGCTGGAGGTTTGTTGGATTAACTTCTGTTCTGTGATACTTCTGCAGAACATTATATTTTCCTTTGAGACTCTTCAGATGACACATGTGGTGATCTGATCTCTCAAGGAGAACGTCAAATTCAGCTAAAATAATCCAAATCTGGCATATGGCAAGTTTGGTTCAAAGAAAGATGTCTTAAATGTGAAGAAGTTCAGGTGAAAAGCTGATTTTTTTCTGTCTTTCTTCAAGCTCTTGAAAATGTAGCCAGTTGAGGGATGAGTAATTGTATTCAGGATCAGACTCTCCATAGAAAATTATTCATACTTATTACAGGTTCATAAGTCTTGAAAAGTCTAATGTTTGACACTTAAAGCAATAACTTTGCTAGGCAGGAGGTGTTATTTTTCCATTATCTGGATTTTAAAGACAGACTGATTTTATACAATAAGATTACACAGATGTGTATCTGTGACAGAACACATCTAGGAAACACTGTAATTACAAAAACCTAATGACTAGCCCTAAGTGCAGGTAATACAAATTTTTTTAATATTTTCTGAAAGGGCAACTTGTAGAAAAGTTGCAAACAAGACTGAAATTCTCAGTGTTTCTGGGAAGATTCGTATGGTATTTGAGATATCGATAACGACAGCTAGAGTTCAACTTCTGCCTCTTGCCCATGACCTGTCCTTACCAGTGTCTTCCTGTAAAAGAAGAAAAAGAAAAAAATTTGTAGATGTGTTTTCCTGTCTCATGTGAGAGAACTATATACCTATATAGATTGATAGAAGAAATTTAGTCACATTACATACACATCAGATGTGCAAATCTCGGTTTATGCTAGCATGGGGAAAGAGCTAGCTAGACATTTCTTGCTTTGCTTACACTGGTATAAATAACAGAAAACTCAGATAAGACCCATGGATTTATTCCAGATTTATGTGGCATAACAAAGAACAAAACCTGGCCTAAGTTGCTTATCTCTTCAAGTAAGGTGATTTACCTGCAGTAATCAGTAGTTTACTGTGGCACGTGCCACAGATAAGTAGGTCCGTGACTTCGTAGGTGAGACTGGCAAAATGGCTTTATTATGGGTGAAATGTAAACGAACACAACTGAACAGGTCAAAAGCAAACAACTAAAAGGCCTTAACATAAAATGGCTTCCGCCTTATATAAGGTAGGGTAGGGAAGGTGCTAGAAAAAAAGGAAGAGTTAAGGCGGAGCATGTAAATTACAACCATAAAGGGAAAACATAACCATGCACGGATAACTGCTGCAATGCACCAAATAATGACCAGTAGGAAAATGGGGTTTACATACATGAGAAATAAGAGATAATACATGAAAGGACAAAGGGGATAGAGGAGAAAACTGGGGTACAATAAACAGGAATTATAGCATAAGACATAAAATACAACATAAACTTGTAACACGTATTTTCAAAGAGTCCATAAAAGTCTGATCTTGTTCAAGTGGTGACTCTTTCCTTGAGAGGAGAGTTGAGTTAGGGATTCCTTCTCCAATCTCTATAATTCCACTTCCAACAGTTTACTACTAAGTAATTTAATTTGTGATCTTCCTTTTTTATTTGGGAGTAAATCTATATTGTTCTCATGTAAAAGAGAAGAATTTTCCAGTACTCAGGAATGTGAACAGCCAGCTTATGGATGTCTTCAAGAATCGTCTGCTGAAGGGCAATCCCTGAACCTGTCCATTTCAGAGAGTACTGTAGCAAATGCCACATCTCCTGCTGACCAGAGCAGACGTTGCTGCTCCCCTGATTGAGTGGGTTCCAAATTTTGATGCCTATACCTGCATCTTGCATGTGGGAATTAATCCTCAGTCTGACTGTATTAGAGCTGACAGCCCTCTAGGCCCCTCCAGCTGTCACCAAAATAAATTCTCCACCAGCCTTTCTGCCCGTCCAGAATGCCTTAGGCAGTAGGGGATATATTTTTCTTGTTTGTGTCCATCTATGGTGATGCAGATGACAATGTGGCTGCAATAAAGCTGAAGTATTCCCTGGCAAAAAAACTCACTGTTGTCATTTTCTCATCCAGGTTAATTCAGTTTTCATGATGTTAACTCTGATGTTGTGGTTGTATAGAGTGAACCTAAAAAGCCTCCTGGCTTCACAGACAGGTGCTGCTGGTTGCAAGAGGAGTTGTCAGTCAAGGTTGGTGACTGGTGTTTCACAAACATTCACATCCTGAAGAGAACCGTGGGTTGATTTTATGAGCTTGATGTAGAAGTAAAACTAACTAGCATACCACTGTGTGTCTGGTTCACAGAGAGGGCAGATAGACATCTGGGATACTAGCAACAAAAGCAACTGCTGAGATGAGACATCCCTTTAAAATGGTTGTAAACTTTGCAATAGTCACTCCTTGAGCTAGGAAATAAGTGAATTGAAATAATTTGGGTTTTGATCGCTGTGAAATTCCTTTGATGACTGAGTCGCTAAAGGTTTTTTGGAGAAGCTCTTGAGACAAAATGGCAGTTTAAACAGCCTTACTTAAGTCCTTCAGTCTCTTTTCAATCTATTTTAGACTCTCTGTTTTCTCTTACAGTCCCCTCAATCTTTTCAATACCTTTCCTCAGGCAGTAGGCCAGGAAATAAGAGTCCACAACAAAGTTCCTAGCAATTCCATCATTTTTAATTCTTCAAGAAGGAGGATGGGATATTTGACTCCTTTTTTCCAGTAACTGGCTGAGACAGTTCACTTTGTTCCCTCATTCTTCTTCCATCTAGATAATCAGTACTGCTGTCAGGAAGGTATGGTGGGAAGGTCAATGGCAGAGGTAGAACCATCAATTTGCTTCTGCACATCCCAGATGTGTGCTGCACACCCTAAATGGTGCCAGACAGAGGGTAATGTACACTCCTCATTATTCTTAGGCCTGAGAGAAGGATGGAGGAGTAGAACCTTTACTTCTCTCATGCTTTAGAATACGGACTAGCACGAACACGATTTTCATGCTGGAGTGCAGCAATGGCATCTGGTCATCTCCCCCCAGGCTCAGAAGAATGAGGGTGCACAGTGGTAGGATATGCTGGTGTTGGGATTTTTTTACTTCTCTGATCAAAGGGAATTAGTGTTGCTAATTGCCTCACTTCTACATGGGCCTGCAGAAGAAAGAGATGGAGTTATGCCTGTCCCCACAATAAGGGCAGGAATTTACAGCTGGTGGTGAAAGAACATCAGCACAGGTGGACAAAGACGTGTTAGAAGATTCCTCCTGAGCACACATCTGGCTTCAGCTGTATTTCTGGTGGAGTTTCAGTATGGGAGAGCAGTAGCTCTCCTCAGAAGCTGGGAGAAGGAATCAGTTTCTGGAAAAAGGAACAAGCAACCTCCTTGTGATTGACAACAGGTCTGTTGCTGCTGGGCCATCCCTTCTGTATGACACTGCTTCTGTTTTGGCCTTCCCTCACACACTCTGTCCCAACAACCTGCAATGATACAAAAAAAACCCCTGCAATGTGATTTCCTCTGCTGCCAGACAAGGGAAAGAAAGGTCAAGCAGCCAGCATGTTCATATGCCTAAGACCTACACAGGACTGATGTGAGTGGTGGACAGAGTATCACCTGAACTGCACACCTGCTCTGTCCCAGAACAGGCTCTGGGGACCTTGAGCAAAACCTTTCTCTGCCCAGCCTTGGCATTTCCACAGCAGTCTAACTGCAGCTTGTCCTCGACTTGCTACCAGCAGGCAGCAAGTTTTTGTGGCAGATTCAGGGCAGGAGTCTCACTGTGAAGCCATTGATACATCCGAGTAGGGGGACAGGAGGAGGTGTGCTCATCCTCTCACTCAGAAACAAGGAAACAAGTAAAATGCATTAATGTGTCATTACCTCCATTTAGGTAATCAAACAGTCAGTTTTGGCTGGAAACAACATGATATAACACAGTTATTGTGTAAAAATAAGATTCCAAAATACTCATCATCTATATTTGAAAATAAATATATTACCATCCTGAAATATTATTCACACCATTTCTTAATAACTAACTTTTAATAAGTGGTTAGAATTTTTTAAAAGAGATATTTTGGAAGAATGGAGAGTACATTAATTATTCACTTTCAAAAATTGTAACAAATATATCTTTCTCAGTCAACATTGCAATGAATACTAAAACCAGTCATCTAGCTTGGGTAAGAAAGGCAATCTGGAAATTTGATAGAAGTTATAACTGTATCAATACTTACCCTACTAAAGACTAAAATCAATATCCGAGTCATAGTACAGGTCACAAGTAGTCAAAACATAGTCATTAAAGAAAGATAAATATGTTCTAGTTTGTTTGGTCCGTGGGATAAAGTCAAATGTGGATGCCAACTGACAAGCATTTCCTGATACAGCAGCTGGTATTGCAACACCTATTTAATTACCTGAAATACATACTTGCAATCAGACAGGTTTCCTCAAATAATCTCACTTACTTAATGTTTTTTTCTGTTCCATGGAAGAGGTCTTCAAGCAGTGTGTGAGCTGCAGCCTGTTAAATTCCGAATATTAGCTCAGGAGATCCTTCCTTGAAGAACTGAAACATTTGGAAGATGTGTCAGCTGCAGGAACTGGTAGTTTTGGTCTTATGAGAAGGACTGTAACCAAGTTAAGATGCCAAGAGGATGGCAGTGGACGGATAAACAGCAAGGTGGGTAAAAAAATGGTTAGAGGTAGATTAGAAACACAGCGCTGCAGGATGTCTTCTGGGACCTGTCCAATTTAACATCTTTGTCAAAAATGCTAAGTAGTGCATTCTTATCAGGTTGGTAGATGACATCAAACTGGGGCAACCATTTGGTATGTCCAAGCAGGAGTGCCATGCAGAGAGGCAGGAGGGGTGGGCCAACAGCAGCGTGCCGCAGAGATGTACAACAGTATCCTGGGCTTTTTTTGTTTGTTTGTTTATTTGTTTTGAATTAGTAACCTTTAGTTGATACCTTTTATTCCATATTATTCCAAATCAGACAACATATCTTGAAAAAAAAATCCTCTAGGGACTACCATAAAGTTGTCTGTTTATTTCTTTGCTTGCTAATACAATGCCACATAACTGGCCAAGGTTGAAAGTAAAAGTTCTGGACTTGAACTTTCAAAATGGTTTTGTAGTCAAGTACTTACCAGTGAATAACCAACATAAAATGTGCTATTGATTCCTAGTGAACTCTGTGGTGTCTTCAGATCACTGGAGTTTCCAAAGTTCTCCAGTGCTTTGTGATTTTAAGTGTACTGAAAATAGAAGAAGAGGTCTTCATTCCAGGTTTCAACCTCCTATTTAGATGCAAAAACTGGTCCCTCTCTTGGGAACTCATTTCCAAACAAGATGAAAAAAGGATGTTTTCTTTCTACCTTTTGGAGACTTTTTTACACTGAGTTCTTAAGATCTGAAGTTTTAATGGATACTTTGAAGACTGTCATCCTCAAATAGGTTTCCTTACTAAAAAAGGTAACCTCTTGCTATGCAAACACTAATTGCTGGAAGAAGAATGATCTTCCTTTTCCCCACGAAAATTAATCACTTTCTTTACTGCCATCACAGTTATAGAGGAACACAGGGTCTTAAGTGGCTATGGTAAATTAAATAAAAAAAAAACCTACTTAAAATCTTCTTTTAATTCAATACACATATCTTTGTAATGACCTTTTTCAAAAAATAAAATTTCCAGGTCAGGTTAAATAGTCTCTTTTCACTTTGAATATACATAAATAATACCTTTTAATCATCTGGATAATTGTCCCTGTTGTGGTTTAACATCAGACAGTAGCCAAGAACTATGCATTTGCTTACTCCCCCACCAGTAAGATCAGGGAGAGAACTGGACAGGTGAAAGCTGGAAAGCTCATGAGTTGAGATAAAAGTTTAATAGGGAAAGCAAAAGCCGCACACACAAGCAAAACGAAACAAGGAACTAATTCACTGCTTCCCATGGGCAGGCGGGTGTTCAGCGATCTCCAGGAGAGCAGGGCCCTATCACATGTAACAGTGACTTGGGAGGACAAACACCATCACTCCAAACATCCCCCCTTCCTCCTTCTTCCCCCCACTTTACATACTGAGCATGATGTTATATGGTATGGAATATCCCTTTGATCAGTTGGTCAGCTGTCCAGGCTGTGTCCCCTCCCAGTCTCTCATGCACTCCCAATCTCTTTGCCAGCATGGAAATATGAAAAGCAGAAAAGGCCTTGGCTCTGTGTAAGCGCTGCTCAGCAATAACAAAAAAAATCTCTATATTATCATCACTATGTTCAGCACAAATTCAAAACAAAGCCTTCTACTAGCCACTGTGAATAAAATTAACTCTACCCCAGCCAAAACCAGCACAGCCCTCAAAAGATAGCCATCATGTTACAAACAAAGGATGATGTTGTGGCAGATTATTTTGAAACTTTTTTTTTTGAAATTACGTATGATGAAATTATGTAGAGATATTTCAGATCAAAAGTTAAGCATAGGTGTTTTAAAAGTTTATAACTTTTGTTTTTTAATTTTTTACATAGTTTTCCACATGTAGAGCCTGAAACCCACTATTTAAGACACAGTTAGGGTTGGACTGTAAAACAAAACACTATTCCCTCCTTTCTCAAGCTATAATAGTTGGAGATTTCTTTATAGTATAAGAGATTATCTTTTCTACTTCTGTGTAATCTCTCTTGGGAACTGATTAGTTGGTTTTTATTTGTGGCATCTCCAGACCAAATTGATTTGTTAAGGGAGTGGTTGAGAAACCACTCCAATGTTTTGGCGTCAATTACATTGTGTAATTTCTTCTCATCATGGCCTGAATCTACCCCCTAATTATTACTGACTTTATCTGCTTTGAGGGTGGGACTGTCTTTCCTTCTTTGCATCATTATCTGCTGATAGGAAGACAACATGAAGAAGCTGGAAAGCTTCCCTATCCTACTCACTTTAGAAAGATTTGAACTATCACCTTTTAAGTTTTAGGAAGGGATCACACAGCATCCCGAGTAGACACACTAGTCATGTTCTCAAGTCTAGCCTTTGTGTAAACAGAAATATGATCATTAGGTGCTAGAATAAAAAAAAAATGTAGCTTGACTACTGCCCAATGGCTAGGAGATCCTCACAGAGGGAGAAATCAAGACTGCAGTGCCAGGTGAGTATAGCAAGCATTCATATTCTACATCAGACCATTTGTGGCTGAAATCTAACATCAACTCAAGGCATTTTCCTGGCTCCATGAGTCATCATGCCTATCTAACCCATATATAATCCTCCAGAATGTACTTTTTCAAAATCTACTGATACTTGGCAACTTAGGTTGTCTTGGGTTGTGGGTTCTTTACCTCTGAAGAGGATGAGAATCTGGATAATACACATACAGGTGTCAGAAAAAAATTATGGAGAAGATGAATTTTCTACTTGAACTGACATAAATGTTCAAAAGAGGAGCAGGCAAGGTAGATTCTGAGCAAGTAGTAGCAATGTGTGATAGTGAGGGTAGCTCTGACATTGATACGAAGCTGACAAATCTGATATAAGACAAATCTGACATAAGACCCATAACCCCATGCCTCTCCGGAGTGATAGCTGCAAGCAGGATATCCCAGAGCATAGCAGAAAATCTTCCCTTGGAACTGAATTCCCATGTCCAAACCCAAATGGCTAGTACATTTTAGATGTGGTGTGGGGCCCTGCTGGAACCAGAAAGGTGTAGGTCTCCCTTCAGTTGTCTTTTCTATGTGCAGTCCCCATGTAAACATCTCACAAACTGTAGGACATCTCGTATTAACTGGATCCCTCTTTTACTAGAAGCTGAATTGGCTTTTAGACTCCATTGACTGTATTGACCTGTTCTGCAGTGATTATAATAGGAGCTTAGACATTAGGCTTTTAAATTCTGTGTGCAATTAATCTGTATTTAACTTAGAGAACTGCCTGGGTCTTGCTGGGCTTCAGAGGTGCCTCCCTTTTCTTTAGGTTGCAGAAAGAACCTGGACAGCTATGATAGGCAAAGTTAGATTACCCTGCAGAGTTCTGTGCTTGGCAGGACAGTGTTTTAGTTAGAATTCTAAATTAAATATAATGTATTCTACCTATCTGTCTTTAGAAGTCATAGCTAATTCTTGCTTGATTTAAGAATCTAATTACTAAAAACAGCTCTGAAAACCTTTTTCTAATACATAGTTCCTGAGAAGAACAGGAAATAAAGTGGTTAGGTCCAAGGAGACACCAAATAAGAAATGGAACATACATACTAATCAATTCCAGTTTCTTTTCTTATCCTGAGAGGTCCTTTAGGCATCACCTCTTGCAATTTCCTGAGTCAACAGCCTAGGGACATAATACAATAAATCACTGAACTGATAATGGGGGGAAAAAACACTAGCTTGTTGCTGTTCTTATGGTTGGATTCTGAGGACCAGATTTTTAAAATTGTTTCAATTCCTAAGGATTTGACCTACAAAAGGACTTAGATTTTTTGATGGTCAGTATTGTATTATGTAAGATTTAGGTGCCTGTTTCCTAAGCCTGAGTCCATATGTTGAACAAGGCACATTACCTGCTTATACAATGCATACAAAGTAGACATCTCCAGCTAGACTTCCCAATAGCTGCCCATGCTAATCAACATGAAAAAAAAAAACACTGAGACTAGAGCTGTTTCTCAAATCCCACCTCTCTTGAGGTGCTTAACTCTTAGCCAAAGGGATGAGCAGCCATGAGCAGTAGCTCCCAAGCCCTTCCCTTCTCAGGTGCCCATTCTGTGTTTTAAAGAAGAGAATCAGGAAGTGATGGACATCACTCTGAAAACACAGCTGCAGGAAGGAGGGTTACAAAAACTGGAAAAAAAGTTGAGAATTCATCACGCTTTCACAGGATGTGGCAAACAACTACTATTCTATCTGAAAGGATCCACATAGTTCTCACTCATCTTGTGACAGTAAACCCCAGTCAGTGGGCTGTAGAGAGCTCTCTACCAGTCTTGCTCCAGCAGTGCTATTTACAAAAGAAAGTTTGCATTCACAGCACCAAAGAGAAGGAGCAGAAGAAAAAAAAATTATTACTAAAGTCCACTTGCTGAGACAATTATTTAAGAGAAGCTGCTGGTGCCTATTTCTTACTCCAAGTGGTTTTGGTCATATGTTTTCCATGAAATAGTTAGATTAAAAAGTGAAAGGTCAACTATTTTTGAGTTTTCTTTTTCCTTTTTTTTTTTTTTCCTACTGAATGAAAAGGAATTTTAGAAGCTTCCTGGTTGAGTTTTTCCTGTTTTTACATGGAAAAAACAGAATACTCTAGTGTTACTCAGTTTAGGATTTACTGAAAATTATTTACGAACTTGAGCAGACCTGGAAAAGCTGTAAAGGAGACAAGGATGGTAGAAATCAGGGAAGGACTTCTATGTAGGAACAGAGCATGGGTTACAATCCTGAAAAAAGAGGTGACTTTGGGACCTATAGTAGAAACCTGTATAGTCAAGAGAGGAAGATCAACTGGTTAATACTTCTCCTCATAAGAAATAATGAGATATAAAATGAAACTAGTGCAGAACAAACAAGAGGAGCAGTATTGTAGCACAGTTAATTTGTGTAACTCAGTGGCACAAGATGGTCCAACGCAGCCTAAGAGGCAACTGTGCCAAAAGCAGATAAATGGCTCTTACTTTATCTTACAATTGTAAT